TGTGCTTAATAACAGAGACATGAAAAAAAATGAGGGAAGAAAATAACAAACAAGCAGTCAACCAATATTTCATTTAAGCCTGTAAATAGATGTGATATGGTACTGATAAGAGTGTATATTTTGTATATTTAAAGTGGAGAGTTCTATAAATGTTAAGTTTACTTGTTCCAGATCTGAGTTCAAATGCTGGATATTGTTGTTAATTTTCTGTCTCATTGATCTGTCTAATATTGATGTTGAAGTCTCCCACTATTATTGTGTGGGAATCTAAGTCTCTTTATAAGTCTTATATAACTGGGTATTCCTGTATTGGGTGCATATATATTTAGGATCTTTAGCTCTTCTTGTTGCATTGATCCTTTTATCATTATGTAATATCCTTCTTTGCTTCTTTTGATCTTTGTTGCTTTAAAGCAACTCCTGCTTTTTATTTATTTATTTATTTATTTTTGCTCTCCATTTGGTTGGTAAATCTTTCTCCATCCCTTTGTTTTGAGCCTTTGTGTATCCTTGCATGTGAGATGGGTCTGGATGCAGCATACCGATGGGTTTTGGCTTTTTTTGCCTGTCTGTGTCTTTGGATTGGGGGATTTAGTCTATTTAAATTTAGAATTAATAATAATATATGTGAGTTTAATACTGCCATTTAATGTTAGCTGGCTGTTTTGCCTGTTAGTTGCTGTAAATTCTTGATTATGTTGATGCTCTTTACTTTTTGGTATTTTTTAGAAAGGCTGATACTGGTTGTTCCTTTCTATGTGTAGTGGTTCTTTCAGAAGCTCTTGTAAAGCAGGCCTGGTGGTGATGAAATCTCTGAGTGCTTGCTTGTTCACAAAAGGTTTTATTTTTTCTTCGCTTATGAAGCTTAGTTTGGCTGGATGTAAAATTCTGGGCTGAAAGTTCTTTTCTTTAAGGATGTTGAAAAGATATCAGAAGTCGAAGACCAACTTAATGAAATAAAATGAGAAGACAAGATTAGAGAAAAAAGGATAAAAAGGAATGAGCAAAGTCTCCAAGAAATATGGGACTATATGAAAAGACCTAATCTACGCTTGATAGGTGTACCTGAACGTGACGAAGAGAATCAATCCAAGCTGGAAAATACGCTTCAGGGTATTATTCAGGAAAACTTTCCCAACCTAGCAAGGCAGGACAATATTCAGAGAACACCACAAAGATATTCCTCAAGAAGACCAACTTCAAGGCACATAATCGCCAGATTCACCAGGGTTGAAATGAAGGAGAAAATACTGAGGGCAGCCAGAGAGAAAGGTCAGGTTACCCATAAAGGGAAGCCCATCAGACTCACAGCAGATCTCTCAGCAGAAACCCTACAAGCTAGAAGAGAGTGGGGCCAATATTCATTTGTATTACTATTAATAAAAAGTAGAACTAAATGAGCCATAGCTGAGGACAAAGATTCTGTTATTTTAACTCTGTTGCTTTGTAGATTCATCTTTACATATTGAAGAGTGGTTGTGTTTTTAATTTAATTTAATATATATTTTTTGCCTACAGATGTTGCTTTTTAAGATCCTTTGTAACTCATAACCTTATTGTATATATGGTATTCCCTATGCAGACCCTAGAATAGCCACTGTGATTTTTTTAGTTTGTTAGCTGTTTCGGCATTGTCTCAACATAGCGTTGCTTATCTGTAGAGACCTGACATTGCAATATATAGAGATCCTGTATTTATATATTTAGGTTATGTATCTGTACTCTTTCCTGAGTGATATTTGACTGATAGAAATAATATAGGAAAGGACACTTTGCTTTCACCATCTAGCTCCAAAGTCACAAACAGTATGAATGTGCACTTCCATAGAACATGTCTTGGTTTCATACACATTGTGCTTTCTCTAGGGTTGGACCCAGCTGGGCCATTTTTCCACAACACTCCAAAGGAAGTCAGGCTAGACCCCTCAGATGCCAACTTTGTTGATGTTATTCACACAAATGCCGCTCGCATCTTCTTTGAGCTTGGTAAGTTTTTAACAGAATCAGAAGCTTCATTGAAGCATAGAGGAGATTTTTTAGAGGAATTTACCCTGTTTTTATTTATTTCAGGTGTTGGAACCATTGATGCTTGTGGTCATCTTGACTTTTACCCAAATGGAGGGAAGCACATGCCAGGATGTGAAGACTTAATTACACCTTTACTTAAACTTAACTTCAATGCTTATAAAAAAGGTAAATACTTTGGGAGGACAAGGTGGGTGGATCACGAGGTCAGAAGTTCAAGACCAGCCTGGCCAATATGGTGAAACCCTGTCTCTACCAAAAATACAAAAATTTGCCAGGCATGGTAGTATGCACCTGTAGTCCCAGCTACTCAGGAGGCTGAGGTGGAAGAATCGCTTGAACCCAGGAGGCAGAGGTTGCAGTGAGCTGATATCGCTCCATTGCACTCTAGCCTGGGCAACAGAGAGAGACTCCATCTCAAAAAAAAAAGGTAAATACTTTCTAAAATATGAGTGCTACTGATATATATTCACTGAGCTCTCTCCTTAGATGGGGTCCACATACTTCTGTGTACAATAGACATATAAAATATATTTTCTCCCAAAACACAGTTGCATATAAGAAGCTCTCCCAACAGTTATGATTGGCAAGATCAGGTACTGTGTCTTAGTTAACTTTGTATCCCTGATGTCTTATACAATGTGTAGCATATTGGAGTCACTCAATATAAATGGAAGGCACATTATTCACTCAACTAATATGTATTGAGTATTTTGCATTCATTTCTATATTTGCTGTTCCTAGGCATTATTCTAGGAAGAGCAAATATGGAAATGAATGCAAAAGACAGAAGTCCCTCCTTGATGGAGTTAATTTTATTTTTTTTATTTTATTTTATTTATTTTTTTTTTTTGAGACGGAGTTTCACTCTTGTTACCCAGGCTGGAGTGCAATGGCGCGATCTCGGCTCACCGCAACCTCCGCCTCCTGGGTTCAGGCAATTCTCCTGCCTCAGCCTCCTGAGTAGCTGGGACTACAGGCACGCGCCAGCATGCCCAGCTGATTTTTTGTATTTTTAGTAGAGACGGGGTTTCACCATGTTGCCCAGGATGGTCTCGATCTCTTGACCTCGTGATCCACCCGCCTCGGCCTCCCAAAGTGCTGGGATTACAGGCTTGAGCCACCGCGCCCGGCAATTTTCTAACTTGTTAGGAAACCAATAAATAGCATAAGAGCTAAGGAGACAAAATAAAGCATGGAAGGGGAATGTGATGTGTTGCTGACAGTGAAGGTAAAAATAAAAGAAGAAAATTGTTGATAGGGTGGTGAGGGAGTCCTTACTGAAGAGATGACCTAAAGGAGTTAGCCTTATAGATACCGGAGTAAGTCTTATAGACACTGGGCAGAGAGGGGGGATTCTTATAGACACCAGGAGGCATTCCAGGCCAACAGGGAAGAGCAAGTGTAAGGGCTCAAAACAGGAGCCAGCCTGGCAGGTTCATGACAGCGAGGAGCCTGTTGTGGCTGAAACTAGGTAAAAGGAGAGAAGTAGGGCATAAGGTTGGAGATGGAACCAGGCAGAGGGCAATACACAGGACTTTATGGATTGTGGAAAAGACTTCAGCTTTTACTCAAGTGAGATAGGAGCCATGAGTGGGTTTTGAGCAGAGAAGAAACATGGTTTGAGTCACTTGTAAAAGCATCACTCTGGATGCTGTAATCACAAATTAAACAAGTACTATGTAACTTTTTATAGTAGTTTCCAATAATAATAATTATAATATCTGTATGGCATTTAGTTGTAAGGCACCAAAATGTTATTATTTGGGAATTTTGTTCTTCCCTATCTCTACATTTCATCATGTAAATAATGAAATATATTACCCATAATATATAATAATACGTAATAATATATATATCTATGATGGATAATGGATACCTGGATGATTCTGTGTATCTCACATCTCAATCCCATGTAGTCAAGATATCAAGGGGTTGAAATTATTTGCTCTTTCATTTGACTATTGTAGAGGAAAGACACATGGATCATAGTATTGAGTGTAACTCAGGTATCTGCTTCACTAGAAATAAATTACAAAGCTTTAATATTTGCTCTTAAAGAGTAAATTTGATCAGAAATATATATTTGTAATGACTACATTTAAAAAAACCCCACACAACTGGCTAATTTACAAATGCACAAATAAGAATTAAAGCCAATTTCACCTAGTTCAGATAAGCAAAATTCATCCAAAAAAGGCATGTTATAAAATTTATTTTCCTCATTATTTTCTATATTATGACTGTGAATCCTTTCTATTAGGATAAACTATAGATCAGAAGACTTCTTTACAAAATTGTTATACACAGATCATATGAAATTCTATAAAAGATTAATTCAACTAAAACATACATTTATCATAAACTGTCATTTTGAGATATTTTAAGATTTTCCACAACTTTATTGGATTAAAAGAACATTTATCATTCACGCTAAATCTTTGGATGGGTTTTAAGACTTCAAGATATTCCGTTTTACATTAAATTTGTTACTAAGAAACCATTACTTTTAAAATTAATAGTTTGCCATATTCTAACGAACCATCTTGTCTAAATCACAATTAATTGTGAATATAAATCTATATACAGAGACCTAATGTAAGAGAAGTCTTTGCTTAATAAAAAAAGATGATGCCAATTATTAATCTATGCTGACAGTATTACATTATTTCTGAAATTATACTGTCTCAGTTCTCTATTACGTAACAAACCACAGTGAACAATTACAAGAACAATTATTTTATGGCTCAGCATTCTCAGGGTCAGAATTCAGGCAGAGTTCTGTTGAGACTCTGTTTTGTGTGATGTTGGCTGGAGTAACTTAGGCGACTGCATCCAATTGGGGGCTGAGCTGGGCTAAGCTGGGTGTGGAGATCTGAGATGACCCTCCATGTCTGGAACCCTGGGACTTGTTCTCCTCAGTTAGGTGGTCTATCATGCTTTAGGACCTCTCTCCCCAACCAGGTAGCCTGGATTTTATAATATGGCAACTGAGTTCCAACATAGTAAGAGTGGATGCTGAAAGGTGTCTTAAGGCCTTAGAACTTAACCAACGTCAGTTTCTCCACAGAACTGATCTTGGTTCTTTGCTACTAGGCAAAGCAAGTCAGAAGATCAGCCTGTATTGGGGCAGGGGTATGAAAACATGGTGTCCATGTTGAGAGAAGTGGTTACATAATACTACAAATGGGTGAGGACCTAGGAAAAAGGCATTTGTTGGAAGTGATTTTACAGAATAATGATACTGCATATGCCAAAATCAAAATCTAGTTTCTCAAAGATAGGCTAAGCTGTGTAGGTCTTTGGAAGAATAGTCCATGCCATTCAGTAAAAATATTGTTATGTAAGATAAAAGAAAACATAAATGGCTGGGCACAGTAGCTCACACCTGTAATCCCAGCACTTTGAGAGGCCGAGAAAGGAGAATCACTTGAGACTTGAGGCCAGGAGTTCAAGATCAGCTTGGGCACAACATATTGAGACCCCATCTCTAAAATTTAAAAAAAAAAGAGGAAAGAAGAAATGACTAGAATGCTATGAAAATTTTGGAATGTGCAGATGTATTTAGATCTTATTATTCTAATAATCATAACTATTGATGGCAATAATGTCATGCTTGATAATGACAAAAGTAACTCATTTTTAGCATTCTTTATAAAACCCTCCACCTGTTACACCTTTAACTTAGCACTGATTAACATTGCTGACTGTCTGGTGGTTGAATAGGAGGAAGTTCTGTTATTCTTGCAGAAACAGAGAGACAGAGTCTTAATTGGTCTATGGTAGAAATACTATATACACAGGGATACTGTGTCAGAGATCCTAGTGACAGGATTTTTTTCCATGCTGCTTTGCCAGCCAGAGACCTCCACAGCTTGCAGTGCCTCTGCTTGAGTTTCACTTGCACCTGCTGGGCTCACCACCAGACTCACTCCACCCACTCAGGCTAGCAGCCTGTGCTCAGCTCACTCTGCTGACCTAGATCTCATGCCTGCCAAGGGTGAGCCAGGATGCCCACTGCTATGGTAGGGTGAGCGTCTTCAGGCCAGTGCAGGCACTGGTTCCATGCGAGGCTGTGGCTGAACCAGGCATACTGCAAGCAGCTTCCGTCTTGGACACCAGCTTCTGGATGAGGGAAACGTGGTGATGCCCAAAAACTCTGAGATGCCAGGAACCTTGGAGCCCCAAAGGGCGTGTTACAGCATGTTACAGCTTTGGCTTAGGGAACCCTGAGGTCTGAGCCCCCAGGAAATATTATAGCTCATTTGTGTTACAGCTTATTTGTTCCTACCATCTGCACAGTTCATCAAACAGGAGTGTGTCCTAGATTGTTTGGTCCCATTGCTCCACTCCGGCCCTTGGCTCCTGGGCTGTCTCAGCCCCACCTCCACTTCCTGTCATGTGGTGTGGGAGGGCCACAGTGTTATAGCAGCTTTTTTGGCACCTGCTCTTTGGTTGATCTCAGGTTCTTGTCCCAAGTCCAGGAAGAATGGGGTTACACAGATACCTGAAGAGTGAGCAAGGCAGAGAAGAGTTTTATTGAGTGACAAAGTAGCTCTTGGTGGAGACAGGAACCCAAACTGGTTAGCCGCTACCTGAAGGCAGGTAGTTCCCAAAGTGTGGCTGAGTCTGGGGTTTTTATAGGCTCAGAATGGGGGAGGTGTGCGCTGTAGGTAGCCTTGGAAAAAGCAACATTTGCTTGATTAAAAAACATTGTTCAGAAAGAACAAAAAACATTGTTCAGGAGAGACTGGACAAACAGGAATAGAAGTTCTCACTCTGGTCAGGAACTTTACCTGGAACTGACAGCTTGGTTTTCAGTCTTCACTTTGTTTTGGACTTGAAGGTCAGGTTTCACTGGGGACCCATCCCTATCTGCCTAAGAAATTGTTTGCTTCCTGCCACTATCACTAGGAAGTGACTCAGTGACTCAGTATATTAGTGTCAAAGCACGAAGCCATCCACATTTGCTTTTGTTTATTTCCATCTCTTGAATGTCCCTTTTGAGTCACATAATTCTTTGGTACAAAGAAAATGACATGTAACTTCGATAAATGTTGTACAATGTCTAAGCCTAGACAAAAGGTCTGGTCCTCCCAACTCAAGAGACTGCCACTTACAGTTACTCTGTCTAAGAAATGGTTCATGCTACCAGTTATCAGTAATTATTATCAGTTAATTGGCAATTGTTTTCACAGAAGTGGCTTCCTTCTTTGATTGTAACCATGCTCGAAGTCATCACTTTTATGCTGAAAGCATTCTTAATCCTGATGCATTTATTGCTTATCCTTGCAGATCCTACGCATCTTTTAAAGCAGTAAGTAAATCATTTCACTTGGAATTTAATTATAAAGTAATTTTTTGAAACACAGTCATCCAGCTAAGCATTAGGGCTTTGAGTAGGTGGCAAAAACAATGCACCTACCATTTTGGGAAATAATGGATTGTTTCTGTGCTGAGTACTGAACAGTAGCTGGGATTGCTGGAGGGTTGAAATAATTCAACCAACTATTTGTATTCTGGTTGTTTCAGCTCTTTTGAAGATTATATACAATTTTGCTTTTTTGGCCATTTGTTATGCAGTAAGTAGATGCTACTATGTAACGGGCAAAAGTCTAGGGCAAAAATTTTTCTGCATATATATTTTAAATGTCGTATTCAAAGATGCCCTAAGAAGGCTGAACCAATCAATAGCTACAACCAAACATATTACTATTTACTTGGAACATGAAAATTATTTTATTAAATTTTAATTATTTATACAGAGCAGAACTAAGGCATAGATAGCTCACAGTAATTCCACATAGATCAATATGTGACAAAATACAAAATCTGATTTTTCTTGAGTAAAAGAAAGAAAATCTATTTTGTAGAGGGAAGTGGAAACGATCTTCATTCTTGTGTTTTAGAAACCTAATCCCCTGTTTTATCACAGTAGAAAATGTGGGCTATTCAGCTGAAGTTTATGGTAAGTAATAGCACTTTGTGAATAAGTTCTGTGCTGGGACAGGAAGAAGCATTTCCCTCCTGCTACAGAGCTTAGCAGGTGGACATGTTTAGGCCATCCTCTCAGTTTCTTGCCATTCTCAGAAAGCTTGACAGCCAAACATTATCATTTCCTACATATCCTCCTTCTCCCTGACCTCTCTCTTCTTCCTGCCTCGGCTGCTGCTCTGAGCACCCAAGGAATCCTGGCATTTACTCCTAGTGGAAGCAGGTCCTTGGAGTCATTGTATATTTGGAGATAAGAGAGTTAATTTGCCAAATTGGAGAACCTTAGAAGCTAGCTCATGCCTCATGGATGCTAATTTTTGTTACAAACTATAGAGTGAATCAATTTCCTTGACATATTTTATTGTACTATACCCAAATAGTCATGCAATTAAATTAAAGTAAGTCAGAGCAAGCTGTGGCATGCACCTGTAGTACCAGCTACTTGGAAGCTTGAGGCAGGATATCCCTTAAGCCCGGAAATTCAGGGCTACAGTGCATTATGATCATGCTTCTGAATAACAACTGCACTCCAGCCTGGGCAAAAAAATTGAGACCCCTTCTCAAAAAGTAAATAAATAAATAAATAAATAGGATGATACTGTAGTCCTAGCCTAAATACCAATGGTTTATTAAATTAAAAATTCAAAGCCTAAAATGGCAAATTCTCAAGCATTGCTACCCAGATTTTTTAAATGTTCACATTTCATTTATTTTCCTTTAGATTTTTAAAACATACAAATAAAATTAAAGAAGCGAAGTGCCTTATATTCCTTCCCCTAAAGCAGAGTTGAATTTGATATACATAAAATAAATGCTATTATGTTGTAAGTATGTTCTTGGTTTGCTGTTTTCATTAAATATTACAAATAAAAAATTTGAAATCCACATTCATGTACATAGATCTAATATATTTATTTTATAGGAATCAGCCATAATTTATTGATTCATTCTCCTACGAATGTGAGTTTTGATTGTTTCCAGTTTTGTTATTAAAAGCAATGTCTACCAACTGTGCCATCTTTGTATGTCTCCTTATGTACTTGAGTGGAATTCCTTCGTGGCATACAACAGAGGTGAAATTATCAAAGCATACATGCATTTCCTTATTTATTAGACATTACCATTACCAAATCACTGTTTAAAATGTCTATCAATTGCAAAAGAAAAATAAAAATGAAGGCCAAAATTTAGATATAACCCAAGGCCACCCAAAACCACATAGACAAAAACAAGTCATCCTGATTTCCCAGAAACACTAGCACTAATCATAAATGAAACACAAAAACGTGAGCTTTACCTCCTTGTCAACATGATTCAGGGAAATTAAACCAATCAGCTATTGAAAAATCAACATAAATATCTCTACTTGCACTAAAGAAGAATGTTAATGTATAACAGCCAATCACAAAAAAGGTCAAAATACTTCCGCCTTTATGCTTTATAAACTATCCTGTGACCGCTGTAAGCTGGGGCTTCTTACCATTTTCAGTTTGAAGTCTTCCAGCTCAAGGACTGTTCTTTTGTGTACACAGCAAACTTTTAAAAATTTAAAAACTTGATCTGATTATATCTTTGAAATTTTAAAAATTATATTCCAGACTGGGAATGCAGTGAAGAGCAATACAGCTTACCATTAGAAGCGAACGAGAATTCCCCTATTACGTGTATTCAGTAT